AAACCGGTTGTCCCCGCCATTACTGCAGACCGCCTGGAGGGCATCCCCGCCTACAGCAACTACATAGCTTAATGCAGAGGCTTCTCCCTGCATGTGGCTAACCAGCCCAGAAACAGAGGCTGCTCCCTGCATTTGATTGACCAGCACAGAAAGCAGAGATGGGCACGGAGACCAGGAGGCAGTAAGGGGCTTTGTTTTCACAGCAGAACACACGCCGCTCACCTGTGACCCCCGCCAGTGCCCTAGGCCATCCTGGGGGCTCTCCTGCCAATGTTAGCTTACGGGATTAACCCAGAGGCTGCTTCCTGTGTGGGGTTAACCAGCACAGACAGCAGAGACAAACTCTGAGACTGGGAGCCATGAAAAGACTTTGTCCTCATGGCTGACACATGTGCCGTTCACCTGCTACCTGTGCCATCGCCCTTGGCCATCCTGAGGGCCGCCCTGCTTATTGCAGCTTAGGAGATTAACCCAGAGGCCATTTCCTGTTGGCAGTTAACTGGCACAGACAGTGGAGACGGGCATGGTGACCGGCAAGCAGGAAGGATTTTGTCTTCCCTGCTGACAGACGCACCACTCGCCAGGTACCACTCCCATTGTTCCAGGACCATGAAAAGGCAGAAGAACCTTGTTCAATCCAAAATTCCTCAAACACCAGAAAGAGGGCTCGGTGAGACTGAAATCACCAATCTTCCTGAAAAGGAATTCAAAATAAAAGTCATAAGCATGCTGATGGAGCTACAGAAAAATATTCAAGAGCTAAGGGATGAATTCTGAGGGGCGATAACAGAAATGAAACAATGGAGGGATTTAAAAGCACATTAAATGAGGTGGAGGTGACTACTAAAGGAATAGAAATCACAGAACAGGAATACAGAGAACGTAAGGTAGAGAGAGAAAAAAGGATCTCTAAGAATGATAGAATATTAAGAGAACTGTGTGACCAATCCAAATGGAACAATATTCGCATTACAGGGGACCAGAAGAAGAAGAGAGAGAATTTTTAGTTGTCATTGGTGTTTAAGAATGCAGTTGCTTTTAAGTGCTTACAATATCCAGCAACTTCTCTGTACTCTCATTAATTCTAACAATTTTATCTTGGAAGTCTCTTGGATTGTTTTCATTTGCATGTGTTTACTATCTCTTTGTTTTGGCTCTGGCTCTGTTGCTATCTGTTTCATGTTATAAATTACTAGAGGAAAGAGACCTTTGTCTAATATGCTTTTAGAGTAAATGGACATTGAATAGTATATTGAAAGATATTCAAGGACACTCGTAGGTGGTGTTTAGAGAGGGAAAACTCGTGTACAGCATTAGAGCTGATAAAGGGAAAAGCAAATGTAGAGAGAGGGAAAAATGGGTGAATTAGAGGACTTAAAATATGTAACAGTAGAATAATTCTGCCTTCATCAGGATGGAGGTACTAGTAAAGGAGCTTTAAGTCCAGAGTTAAGAGTTTGTATTTTATTTGGAAGGTGGTTACTGTTAGGAAACTCATGATTTTACTTCTAAAGGGCAGTGAAACTACTTGGGGTATTTTTGATGGTCTTACTAAGGTTTAATCAAGTGACCTGAAAATCTAGGTCAAGAAACTTTCAATGAAAGGAAATGATCAGATAAAGGTTGGATAAGAGCTAACAGTGTTACTTACTTAAAAGGAATTAATGAATTAAATAAAACAACTCTCTTTTTTTTTCTGAGACACCCTTCCTGTGTCTCAAAACTAGATGAGGAATTACCGTTAAGGTATTGACATGAAGGCAGAAAGTAATGCTATATTTTGTTCAGAAGCAAACAAAGTGTTTGGAAAATTGCATCCAGAGCACCAAGAGAAATAATTAATGAGCTATTGATTATTACTGAGATACCTGAGGATTAGAAAAAGCTGAGTAAGGGAGGGATTGGAAGGTAAATATCTTAAAACCATTAAGTAAGAAAGCCAGGCAATTATCATTTAATTATTGCTACACTATTATAATTTAACAAAATGCAAAAATACATGATCTATACATGTTTTAAAGACAACAAAATCACAAAGAAAAATAGCTTGGAATTGGGGACTGGATAAATAATAGAAGGTTTTGTCTTTTCTGAATTTTGAAACCTAATTTGCAGAGCAATTTGCAAAAATGACATCTAGTTAATTAAAATAAAAAGCCTCCTACTGAATTGAAAAGTTAGTGATTAAACTCATTTTTAGCAGCCCTAATTGAGTGTTTTAATCATTTATGCAATCTCATCTTGACATTGTAAAGTAGGTATTCAGTTGGAGCTGTCATTTCTGGGCAGTAGATACAGCAGTGGCTGGAGGTTCTAGAGATCCCATGGGTCTTGGAGCTCCCATTAAGTCCCTTTTTGTATGACCAATATATGAAAGACTTACAGATCTGCCTTCTTTGTATTGTTTTTTGCTCATGTTCATTGGTTGCAAAATAAGATGTTAGCAGCCCATGGAAAGCTAGGAGCATAGATTTTAAAGAGAAATTTTTATGAATCTTAATACTTCATATTCCATTACAAATGTTAATGAGGACAGGGATTTTTATGTTTTGAATACCGATGTATCTCTAATGCTTGAAATAGTGCCTAGTATATAGGAGATGCTTAGTAAAAATTTATTATTGGATGTATAAATGAATGAAGCTGTATTGGTAGTTAAAAGATTTTTTTTTGTCATTATGTTGAAAATACACTGTGGGTCTCTTGAATGATGTTAGTATTTTGTAGCTTTGTTATTATAAGTTTGCAGTTATTTATATTCTTTTCTTCCCTGGAAGTAGCATTTAACATGAGGACACTTAAAGGGATTGTGAGGAGACAAATATTGAGGAAATGGAATAAAGATTCAGTACACTTAAATGTTCATCAAAAGTTTTGTTTTCCATTTTCCTCTTGCAACATCTCTGACACCAGATGAGATGGTATATTTCTTCCCTACATATATGTATTACAAATGTTAATGAGGACAGGGATTTTTATGTTTTAAATACCGATGTATCTCTAATGCTTGAAATAGTGCCTAGTAGATAGGAGATGCATACATACATTATACATAGCAGTGATAATAGTATGACTTCATTTGGGTACCCGGTTCCCATTCCAATGTGTGTAAGTATGAGGGAGAGGGTCTTCCCACACATACTTACAATAAGCAATTCTCGAACACCAGCAGGGTGTCAGGGAACTCAATTCTGATTATATCTGCCCAGAGACAGCACCAGATGCCCAGGTTTTAAGGGCCCCGTCCTGCAAGACTGCTCTCCACCCCCCACTCCAGACACCGGACGCAAGCCCCAGGCAGTTCCCTGTGCTTCTGACCTACCGGCTACAGATTTGAGGTTCCCATGACCTCCCCCTTGGGTTCGATTAATTTGCTAGGGAGGCTCACAGAACTCAGGAAAACACTACGTTTATCAATTTAGTAAAGGATATAAGTTAACAGCCAGATTAAGAGAAACATAGGGCAAGGTCCCAAATAAAGGAGCTTCTATCCTCATGGAGCTTGGGGCCTGGCTGGGTGGCACATGGAGGCATTCTGGTCCCCAAGCATAGAAGCTCTCTGACCGAGAAACAGGATCCAGCCCAGCAGAGGAGGTAAAGTGGAGAGCAGAAAGAGCAAGCTCTTCTCACGGGTTTTGTGAGGGCTTCATTGCATAGTCATGATTGACTAAACTATTGGCCACTGGCTGATCCAACCTCCAGCCCCTGCTCTTGGGTGGGGGTCCAAAAGTCTCTTATTAACATGACAAAACACCCATTTCACCTTTAAGACTCTGCAGTGTTTTCAGGAACTGTGGATGAAGACCAAATATAACTGGAAAATATATATTTGGTCATAAGAATGACCAAATATGTATTTCTTATAACTAATTATATCACACCTCTTTACAAGTTAGTTGCAGGCCTCTGTATCAACTGGATATGAGCTGTGTTATTCCAGTATAGCTACATAATTGGTCTCGCCCTGTGTGAACCTATGGGATCTGGGGCATGTAATGAGTTAAACTTTTTCTGTTGAAATGTCAAGAATGTATTTAAATATTTCTGGGTTCTTGCCAGACCCACATTACCAAGATTATTCTTTATTTTAGATCAAATATACAGTAGGTTTGATGTATTCAGGCATGCATTTTGAACTTCTTTCTGAATGTACTGTAATTGAAAGGGAAACTTTTTTGAAGAAATACAGGTCTTTACATGAGGTAAATAACTTGCCTCAGATCTGGGATTCTTAATAGAGGATCTGCTTCTGTAGTCTTACTCAGGTAAAACTTTTAAAGGACTCCTTCATATGGGTATAATCAGATTCTGGATAAATGGTTTGTATAGATACTGAAGGGATATTATTTGGATAAATTATTAGAAATAAAAAACCTGTTCTCTTACGCCATTTCCCAGTATTTTGACAGTAATTTCCTAGTGAATTCTGTAAGATGTGGCATTGAGGCAGGGACTGAGATGCCGATTAACCCATAGAAGAGTATTTTCTGATGGCATCATTCACGTACTTGTTCCTACTTTTATCTCAATAGTAATTTATGTAAAGACAATTTTTGTTGTTAGAGAGGGTCCATCAAACTGATTATTGCTAAATAAGTCTTATGACTAAATAGTGCTTTGGACACATATCAGAATGTTATAATTTTTTTAAGTTGTCTTAAATTTGAAAGAAAAAACTATTTTTCCCCCCCAATGGTGATTTTTTTTAATAGATGCATTTTAGCCTGTCCTTTTGCTGGGCATTTATCAGGTTTCCCATTTCCTGTTACCAAGGACTTTTCAAGTTCTATTAGTAATGTATTACTTTTCTGTATATAAGTAATGCCCCAACTTGAATATTTTGTAGTTCCTCTTTATATAAATTGAGAGGTTTTGATAAGGAAGAGTGGATTATTTTGATGTGCAGAACACTTTAGGTTGTGTTAAAGACTCTGAACTGCTATAAATTTGTTTAATGTTAAGGAAATTATGAATCTGATTTTTTTTGTTTTATATTGCAGACTGGATATCTTCATATTCTCTGTTACAACTTTGGACTACAAACATACAATCAGAATAAATATGAAGAAAGTTCTTTCTGGCTTAGGTAATATAAACAAAAATAATGGTTGAAAATTCAGGAATATTATTGCAGAGTTTAGTTAATACTCAATATAGGGTACCTTGATAGTTTAAACATTCTCTGACTTCAAAAGCCAACGTGCTAACTTTATTTATTCCTTTAACATGTATTTATTATACTTATATGTTGCCAGTTGATAGAAAAATGTATCCTATCTGTAATATAACATAAGAGCATGTTTTCAGTCCATTCCTCCTTTGTGTCTGCATCAAGAATATGTACTTTTTTTTACTTTGCTACATATTGCAGTTTGCCAACCTCAGAGTATAAGGGCAAGTGGGTGGATGTAGGATCAGTAAAATTATTAGTCTTAAATGAATTTGGGTATTTTAATATTAGTTAAATAAGTATATATTTAGCACTGGCTATATACTCAATACTATACTAGATTTTGTACTGTTGGAAATATCAAGGTAATAGTACAAAAATATAGCAACTGTATGCAAGAACCCTGTCTCACTGAATACCCTGCCTCCTGCCCAGGTTCTGACACATAGTGGATACTCAGTAAATCGTAGTTAAATGAATTTATGTGAAAAATGCATTTTGTGTAGCTGTCTTATAAGGTGCTTTGAATATCGGGATTTTAGTAAAATATATCATATCAGTTCACTAGATGTTTCCCCTTTCTGAGTACAGGGTCAATTCTGGTATTTGGAGATACTCCCATGATAGTTGAACTGTTGTTAAAATTGTATTTTCAATTAATGAAATAAATATAAATATGGCCATTAAGATTATGGTACTCACAGGTATATATATCGCTAACAAAATATTTATGCAAATAACTTGCATATATAAAAGGCTTTTTAGAGCTTAAAGATTGATAAGAGTCTATAAAGAACTATGCTTGAAAGAACAAGTTATGCAGTTATAAGAGATATACTTGTCTCAATTTAGAATGCTTTACTCATTTGAAATACACCTGAAATTTTTATTGTAAATCACATTTTTATAAGTTGAATTATTTAAAATACACCAAAGGAGCAAACTAGTTTAGCATAGGTTTACAACAGGTTTCCTTTAAAGCAACAACCTTTTTATAAAGTGAATAATGAGTGAGTTCTGTTCCAGGATTTGGCAATATTTGGGGGTAGAGCACTTATATCAACCTATAATCAAGTTTATGGCATCAACCTATCAAAAGACTAGTATGCCAAGGTAACAGGAATGGGAAGGACAAAAAATAAAAGACATGCTGGTGTTATGGATGACTTCTGGAAGCTTAAGACTGGAGGTGAGCTTGAAGTTTATACCAAGAATAAGGATGAATGTTTCCTAGGAACTGGTCATAAGAGTAAGCTGAGGCTTGAAGTAGCATGACTTTTATGTTATTTTCACATATGCCATGGGTTGTTGACCTCTTACTTCATCATCAGTTTTTAGAAAACATTGCTGAAGAAAAATATGATGGCCACAGGACATAACTGACACCCATATCATAAAATTAACTGTATCAGATTTTTACTGTATATTTGGTAGCTATATTTGTAAAAATATGATTTGACTCACAGTCATATTTTCATCAAAATCCATATAATAACAAATTTATAACACTATAGTGCTACAATTAATAAAACTATGTTTTGGATCTTTCATGTTCTTGGCACTAGAAGGAGATTGGGGAAAACAGGATGAACTTGAATTCTTTTGTTGTTGATATTTTTTTTATTGAAGTGTAGTTGATATACAGTATTATATTGGTTTCAAGTATACAAGGGTAAACTTGAATTTTATCCCTAGTTATTATATATGATTTTAATCTCTCATTACTTTTCCACATCTTTGGAGGATATAAAAATGGCTTGGTGAAGTCTTTCCAAGTGCCTTCAAATTGTAATTTAAGGTGTTTAAAAGAGACAAATAATTTTCAATATTAAAAATAGGTATTTTAGCACAATGGATAGTTTTTAGTATTGAATCAAGTAAGTCAAAATTTGAGTCATCTATGACACCAGTATGAAACTATTAGTATTTTGGTACTTTTTAGAATTTTTGTAGAGCTAATGCAATAATGCATGCACTGTAGTGTGTTTAATAACATGCTTGGGAAATAGAAACTTCTCAATAAATGGTAGCAGCTCCTGCTCTCTCTAGGTGATATGTTTGCTGTATACTGCAAATGGGCATTTGTGTGGCCAGTTCACTAGTTTATTCTAACATTTATCACAGTCAAATCCAACAGGGATTACTTGTTGACTTCTCAGGTAAAAATATCATAAAGACAATCACCTACATCTTCTGTCATATACTGCTAATTTTTGGGACAGTTTCTTGTGCTTTAATTATACATTTGTTGAGAAAACTATTGGGGCCAGTTGGTGATACAAGCAACAATGAAGTAACTGCTAATTAAACACCCTTCTCTGTAAATTTTATACCAGAAGGAGGCCATGGAAAGTTAGTGTACTTGCTACAGGCTTAACTCTTGAGAACAGTGAATATCTTAAGCTAAAGGTTATATAAAATTTGGAAGTAACCATGTAGTCTAAAAGGGAAAAATCCATTTTTACACAAAGGGTAAGGTATCACAGTTGCTGTAGTATATTAGAATTTTGTTGAAATAGAAGCCTGGAACATAAAAGGTAGTAGTGGGTATTGCTTTTAAAGTTCTTTTAATTTCCCTGAGTTCTTGTTATCATATCTCAGTTTAGGACCTTTCTCAGTTTTTGTCTCTCCAATGCCTTTTTTTTTTTTTTTTGGTAGGAAAAGTTCACAAACAGCTGCTGCTCTCCTTGCTTTCTGCAATGTTCTCTTCTTTTTTAGCCTTTTTATTGGTATCATTAATCTACAATTACATGAAGAACATTATGTTTACCAGGCTCCCTCCTTCACCAAGTCCCCCCCCACATACCCCCTTCACAGTCACTGTCTGTCAGCATAGTAAGATGCTGTAAAATCACTACTTGTCTTCTCTGTGTTGCACAGCCCTCCCTGTGCCTCCCCCACACTGTACATGATAATCATAATGCCCCCTTTCTTTTTCCCCGCCATTGTCCCTCCCTTCCCATCCATCCTACCCAGTCCCTTTCCCTTTGGTAACTATTAGTCCATTCTTGGGTTCTGTGCTTCTGCTGCTGTTTTGTTCCTTCAGTTTTCCTTTGTTCTTATACTCCACATATGAGTGAAATCACTTGATACTTGTCTTTCTCCACCTGGCTTATTTCCCTGAGCATAATACCC